ACGACTCTTAAGTGCTGTATTGTTAAAGCAGGAACTACAGTGGGCTTTATATTCTTGGTTGGTTTGCTGATTTACTACTAAAATACCCACAATAAAGCAAAAAGAATGGCAAGGAAGGGAGCTAAGGACTCACTTCAGGTTCCAGTGCTGGAGATGCAATCTGTTTTGAAGTTTCTTTATTTCTTTTGGTAGAGCCAAATGGACACGGCTGAAAACCAAGCTAGTATTTATCTGCATATCCATATCCTTTTCTTTGTAGAGTCCCACCCTGGGCTCTGCTTCTTGATCACTTGAGACGGGTGTGGAACAACCCAGGAACTGGCTTTATACAGAGATTAATATCCTACAACCTTTTGGTTTAATTATTTACTTGTGTTTTATCTTGTACAGTGGTAGCTCTGGTTTCATACGCTTCAGGTTACAGACTCCGCTAACCCAGAAATAGTACCTCGGGTTAAGAACTTTGCTTCAGGATGAGAACAGAAATTGTGCTCCAGCGGTGCGACAGCAGCAGGAGGCCCCATTAGCTAAAGTGGTGCTTCAGGTTAAGAACAGTTTCAGGTTAAGGATGGAACTCCGAAACGAATTAAGTTCTTAACCTGAGATACCACTGTATTTTATTCTGTGAACTGCCTTGGGATCTCTTGATAAAGGGTGGTGTATAAATTTAATAAATAATAACAACTCCTGGTCAGAAACAGCAGAGGTGAACATTGCAGGGGAGCCGCCAACATCTCTGAAACTCTGCCGTTTGCACTGGGCAGGGCAGAAGCGGCAATTGCTCTGGCCAGAGCAGCAGAGAAGTCAAAGTTGGGCACATAATTGGTAAGTGGACTGGCTGAGGATCTGGGAGATTCTCGGCCAGCCCAGCTTCACCCCCTCCCTGCCTCCCAAAAGCTCCCTTTAGAGGGCTTGCCAGCAGGCCTAGCAGGGGCACTTGTGGCAGGACAGCAGAGCCAAGCGCAGGGACACCCACATCAAATCCAAACACCACCCAGAAGGGTAGAGTAGAGGCTTCTGTTGCTCTGTAAGGCTGCGATGCACATTTACTGGAGAGCAGGGCCCATGGACCTCCACGGAACTTATTTCTGAGTACATAGCCCTGTGCTTCTGCCGAACATCCTGCATAAGCCGTCTAAAATATATTCAAAATATTCCCAAATCAAAATACCAATACAGAATTAATCAAAACGTCAACATTAACAACGGGGGGGGGATTCAGTTTCCATTTTATTTATTTTTCAGCAGTGTCATAATCTGGGTGAAATAAGAATGCCTTAGCTTTTCTCTGAACCAGGAGGAGAAAGAGAAATAAGCCAATTCCCTTCAGGAATAATTTTCAACTCTTTATGCCACCACAGAAAAGACCCTGCAGAGGCAGCCATGGAACATTTTCCCAATATAAATTGAGCACGCAGCATAGCCTGTCAAAGACTCTTCAGTGAGAGTGGGCATTTCTGAAACTGCCTTATATTGAGTCAGGCTATTTATCCATCTAGCCCACTATTGTCTACTGCAATCGGCAGAAGCTCTCTTTGGCAGAGAATTGCTTCCCAGCCCCTGCCTCTTGAACCTTTTAACAGAAGACACCAGCGGTTTCCCCTTGGACTTCTGCAGGCACAGCACAGAAGATCCTATCAGCACTCAAATGTTGCAAAGGAGGAAATGGTTGCAGCTCCTTGTAGGCCAGGGCTGGGGAACTTTTTTTTTCTGGCAGGCCGACCAGATCCTTATCTCCTCAATCCCTGACAGGCCAAATCTGACAGATGGCTGAGGCTGCCCACCTGTCAATCAACCAATGGCACACCGTGAAGGACTTCACAGCCAGACAATCAGGAGGGGGCGGAGCTGCCCTTTGAAAGCATCATCTGCCCACTGGATGTTGTTGCCCTAGAGCTCCCATCAGCCCCAACCAACTTAGCCAAAGGTCATCCAAAAACACCCGCAGTCCCAAGAGTGAAGAAGGCTGCGCTGAGTGGTTTAGTGTGTGTCCTGCCCGTTTTGAATGAACAGCTTACCTCATCAGCTGCATCAGATGAAAACATACACATATGGCAAGCCCATAAGTGTAATAATACCTTGTGGAGCCAATGTGGATAGAATTTGGAACTAGGAGCTAGGAAATAAGGTTTCAAATCCTGCCTCAGTCAGGACACTCAGTGCATCGTCTAGAACAGGGTTTCCCAAACTTGGGTCTTCAACTGTTTTTGGACTTCAGTTCCCTTCATCCCTGACCACTGGTCCTGCTAGCTAGGGATGATGGGAGTTGTAGTCCAAAAAACAGCTGGAGACTCAAGTTTGGGAGACCCTGGTCTATGGCAAGGCAGGCTTCAGTCCAACTTACCTTTAACCTAGCTAAGTGGTAGAGCATCTGTTTTGCGTGAAAGAGGTCCCAGGTTCAATCCTCAACATCTCCAAGTAGGGCTGGGAGAAACCCCTGTCTGCAAACTGCTGCCAGTCAGTGCAGACAACATTAAGCTATATGGACAAAGATTTCTTGGTGAAAGGCAGCTTCCGGTGCTTTTCACCAAACTTATCTTACAGGATTGCTGTGAGAACAAATGTATGCCATCTTGAGTTCTCTGGAAGAGCTGATGAAGACAGGTTTCAAATGTGAAGAGAAAAGTGAAAAGCCAAGCTCAATGCCCTCTTGGTCCTTTTCACAGATCTAACAAAGTAAACAAGCAAAACCTCAGGCCCAGGGCTTGCACGAGAAACCCACACTGATTAGCATGGCAATGGGATTGAGGGCGTCACTGAATTCAGTGCCAGGGGGATGCCCCAGAAACCTCTGCCATAATGCTGCAGAGGGCACTAGGGAGCAACTCTCCTCCCAGAGGGAGCTATTTGCATTCCAAGCATGGGATCCTGGCAAATGCACTAGATCCCATAGTGCAGAGGGTGGGCAGGAGACAATCTGGATCTGATTTGCAGTAGGTCAACAAGTGTTTCTGATTCCCAGTTGTTTAGCAGTAGCAGCACCAAAAAGCAGACCCACCTCCCCCCATATTAGAAGCCCTGATCTCAAGTAACTCAGAGATTTGTACTTGTACATACAAGTCCCGCTAGTGTGTAGCTCATGGGGTGCACCTGGGTCTGGTGAGTGGGCTTTGGGGACCCTATCATACAGGTAAAGTAGATCCTATAGACGTGAAGTCTGCCCAGGTCTGGTGTCGGGCACCCAACCGTGAAAGCAACATTTGTTGAGGATGGCTCTGCTTGTGCCTCCATAAATGAGCAGATATAGTTACAGGGAAAGTTCGTATTATGTACAAGCACATATTTTTAAAAGTATTGCTTTATTGCGATTAATAAAAAACAGGTTCAGGAGGTTGTGATTTTGGACAAAGCAACCTTTAAGGAAGATGAGGATACTTAAGTCTCTTTCCTTCCTTCCTTCCTTCCAAATAACACACACGCTGAATGCATCTCCCACCCACATGAGTTCCAGATTACCGTAATTTATACCAGGGTAACAGAATCCCCGCAACGGGGTGCGCTCCCGTTGCTCGATCCCAGCGCCTGCCAACCTAGCAGTTCGAAAGCAGCCCCGGGTGCAAGTAGATAAATAGGGACCGCTTACTGGCGGGAAGGTAAACGGCGTTTCCGTGTGCTGCGCTGGCTCGCCAGATGCAGCTTTGTCATGCTGGCCACGTGACCCGGAAGTGTCTCCGGACAGCGCTGGCCCCCGGCCTATAGAGTGAGATGGGCGCACAACCCTAGAGTCGGACACGACTGGCCCGTATGGGCAGGGGTACCTTTACCTTTAACAGGCACTACAGAGGTGAAAAGCTGCTGGAGAAGACTGTTAAACTCAGAAAATACAACAGTCATCGGGGAAAGGGTTAAGCACTCCCTCAAGCTCCTCTGTCCAAAGCTAAACAGAGAGAGAGAGAGAGAGAGAGATGATTTTAATTTTTAGAAAGCCCATCAAGGTCTCACGGCATCTGCTTAGTTGCAGTGTGCAGCTGGCTCCTTAGAACAGGAGCCAAGAACCAGGAAGATTTCAATTAAAATCGCACCTCAGTTATGAAGTGATCCAGCAGCAATCGCGCACACCCATTCCTAGGAGCAAAGCCCATTAGATTCGATAGGCCTTACTTCTGAGCAGACGCGTGTTCGCTTTGTGCTGCCAGACAAGCACGAGGACTTTTCGATCTCTAAGGATGCCACCGTTTTTGCTGGCTCTGCTCCTAACACCCAGAAATTCAGCAGGAGCTGCTCCCCAACCCCGGTCCATTTATCTCCTTGCTCGCTTAATTTCTACGTGTCACGTTGCCGCTACTGCAAATGGCACAGGAGTAGAGGGAAGGGAGAGGGGCGACCCCACAGCCTCCGCTTTTTATCCGCAAAATGAGAATACTAACACAGTAATACCAATCGGCTAACTTGCTTGTTGCTAGCATTGGGAAGTGCGCTTTCTTGCTGTCGCTGTTTTGGGGTATAACTCGATCACACGCCACCCGATTCAAGCTGCACAATTGCTGTCGCTCTTGCACAGCAAACTCAGTCCCACCTCTCAAAAAAAAAACAACCCCGGAGGTTTTTGCCACAAGAAAAGTGTGAGGCCACACCTGCTTCGGTGCAACGACATCATCCATCTCCCCTGCAAATGAATCCGGACAAACGTTCGTCTAAAGGAGCTCAGGTCTAGTCTCCGCGGAAACAAATCGGGAAAAACTCGCCAGGGACACGGCGCCTGGAAGCAGCCCGAGTTCATGGACCTGGAGCGCTTTTCTCCTAAAAAAGCCCTGTCTGAAATCCTATTCGTGCTTATGTGGGATCTCCCCTCCTTGGCCAAGAAGCGCTGGTACTTCGAGGGGACGCGGCCAGACCAACTTCCTACTTGCCAGAGGAGAGCGGGGGGCGCGGCGCCTCCTGGCCGCCTTTGGCGCTGGGCTCCCCAACTGCTCGGCTCTGTCTGCCCGACGGGGAGGGAGAGGGAGAGAGGAGGGGGAGAAGGAGAAGAAGAAGAAGAAGAAGCGGCGTCCGCATCTCACCTCCTGGCACTGAGGCAGCTGCAGGATGGACGAAGCCGCCACCGCCTCGGCGCTCCGGCAGCCCAGCAGAGCCCAGCCGCCCAGGCACCACAGGAGGATGCTCGGGGCCGGCGCGGCGCCCCTCCAGCCACAGCAGCAGCAGCGCCGCCGCCGCCTCGCCCGCCGCATCCTGGCCCCCAGGCAGCTCCTGGCCGGGGACTCAAGCCCGCGCCCGCTCTCCCTTCGCCCCCGACGACGCTCCATCCCCGCGGGGAGCCTCTCCTGCTCTCTTCCCGGCGCCGGCGCGCCACCTGCTCGCTCGCGCTCGCCCTCCGCGGCGTCGCCAACGGGGCGGACCGAGACCGGGACGGGAGGGGCCCGGGAGGAAGGGGCGCGCAGTGCGCAGGCGCCGCTGCTCCGCGCTCTCGCGGCCGCCACATCCGGCGGCGCCTCCCGCCGCTCCGCCGCCCCGGACACGCCGCGCCACGCCGGCTCCCCGAGGGCGCACCTGTCCGGCCCGCGCTGCGCCGCCGAGGGGGCCCTCGAGGGCACGGCGGGCCGGGGAAAGCGCCGGGGGTCCTCGGGGAGCCGGAGAGCAAGCGGGCTTCGAGCGGGGCTCCTCAGCCGCGGGGTCTCCGGTAACGACAGACTCTTGCCTGGACCAGCTGGGGGTCCGGGGCACCTGCTGTAGCATCTTTAATGCACCAGGCTAAATGGGGTCTTACTTTTATGGAATTCCATAGACTTCAAACTGTAATACACTAAGATGGAAGAAATAAAAGCGGCACGAGCATAATTAAAAATCAGTGTGAATATTTAACGCGTCGGATGTGCCGTCTTCCGTCGAAAATCCGCAGCCTTGCTGAATGAAGCCCGTGGACCACAGATTGGGAGCCCATGTTACTCTGTGGGTTTGCACGATTCCCCTGGGCTGGGGCCTTATTTAAAGGCTTTTGTTGGGGCATTGCTGGTATTGATAGAATTTTCTGGTATCTTAATTTTAAATCTTACGTGGAAATGTTCCATTTCATTGTGTACTTGCTGGTGTTTTATTTGTTACTCACGATTACTTTTGTTATGTTTGTAGTTATTGAACAAATAAAATGATGTATGTATGTATGTATGTATGTATGTGAAAGCGTGGGTGTAACAAAGCAAGATTTGAATCAAGGACTTTGTAAAATGTCACTCATTCTTCTCAGCTGCAGTCTGTGCCCACTTGCCTGGCAGGGAGTGTGTCCCTTGGGACCCCTTGGGAAAGGCTGCACCAGTTCCTGGAATAATGATAGATACTCAATACTTCTATGGTGCTTTGGAGCACTCAAAGGCATGAGTTCATTCATTCAGAACCTTGATTCACTTCAGCAGTTTCACCCTGGAGTCTCCCTTATCCATGTCTTCCTTTCACCCAGGAGAACACATTTCCCACTGGATGTTGCTGGACTCCAGTTCCCCCAGCAGAGCCATGATCAGTAAGGATGGAGGAGGTGGTCCAGTAACCACTGGAGGGCCACAGGTTCCCACCTCTGCTTTAGCCAAACTCTAAAGCTGCAAACCAGGCAGAGTTTGGGGCGCCTGAGCCCATGGATTCAACAGAGGAGGCACACTTCACTTTGCATAGGATCAGGCTGCATGTCTTGCAAGTAAACAAAGCTCTCTGCTTCTTGCACTATTTGCCCACAGGATTAAGTCAATGTTTTCCTTACTCAGCTCCCATGAGATTTTAACAGTGATGTCATGCTTCGCAATGGGAATTGAAGTGCACCTGTTTTTATAGCACAATGTGTTTTGAAAATGCTGTTCTGTGTCCTGTTAAAACTCCAGAAAAGTACTCAGTAAGTACTTACTCCATGCCCTCTGAGTTTGCTTGAGTTTACCACAACTTACTTTTAAGCCTTAGGCAGACACCCCATGAGATCCATGCAGCTGCTATTTATCCTGCAGATGTTCTCATGCTGATAAGAGAAATCTCTACGTTGCCCACTTTCCTACTGGACTCTGTTCTTGTGCAGCTTTAATAAAAGCTTGATCTACAAACATTAGCAGATGACAGTGCTCATCTCTGTGCCATGAAAAGCTTCACCGACTAGATCAAAGTGCTTTTAAAGCCACCAGGGCTATGGAAAGTAGTGCTTCCTTCTATTGCATGGTCCTTGCTAGATCTGGAAGCATGTCTGCTTCAACAATAAAATGGATGCCTGCCTCCCAACTATAATCAACGATGCAGGTATTTAATATATCCTCTCCATATGGGCATGCTTGGCAAAAAACCATTTTTGGGCAGAAGTCCTGGTTATCACCAACCTAGTCCTCTTTATGGTTTAAAGATGTCTATCTATTGTGATTTTATACTCTCCATATGAAACCTTTTTTCAAGTCAAGAGCAATGGATCTTCTCTGCTTTGTTTGTGGCAAAACAGTTAATGCTGCAACACTGGAAGGAGATCTTTCTACCTTGAGTACAATACAGGATCCCAGAGTTACATTCTCTGTCCTCCTATGAACTTGGAGCCTACAGGCAAGAACAGCAAGAAGACGCACACATGGCTGTGTTTGTGTCTGGGTTTACTGAAACTTGTGCTTAGTGACCCGGGGATATTGCTAACTCCTTATCGTAGCTGAGACGCTTGAGTTTCCTTACTTCCTCCTCTTGCTTCCTCCTCCTTCCTTTCAGTCCATCCCCACTTCTCTGTTCCCATTGTTGTATAATTTAAATAGTATGGAATAAAAAAAATTGTTTGGAAAACCACCATATCTTTTTTTTAAGTACCAGAACAGGGTAGACCATTCCCCCACACCCCCTGCTGATCCACTGGCAAGCAGATCTTTGTGAGCCCCTGTGATATCATAGTTGCCAGCTATTCAGGCCGTGGCCCAGCCCCCTCCCTCAGGGGTATCCAACACAGTGCCCTTCAGATAGTGTTGGATTACAAGTCCCATCAGCCCCATGTCCTATGGTCAGGGATAGTGTGGGTTGTAGTCCAGGAGCATCTAGAGGGTACCATCTTAGCTACCTACCCCTGACATGCAGACTGGTTTCAGGGCTTTCCTGGGTTGTCACCAGTTAGGACCCCACCCACAGCACTTCTGCCCATATACACATTCAGCAGTTGGAAGACGGGGTTCAGTCCCAGCAGACTGCCCTTCCCCACAACCCCAGCCTGGCCTACAGGGGGTTTGGCTGGCTGCCTAACACACAGTACATTTTGCTAGGCTATCAGCCAAGTAACCCTATGTATCAGCTAAACAAGTGCATTTCTCCATGTATACAAAGCCCGGGGCTTCGGATTGTTCTTATGTGTACCTTCTAGCCTAACAGGACAATCAGAACATAATTAAAAGGTAAAAGGACCCCTGGCAGTTAAGTCCAGTCGCAAAAGACTCGGGTTGCGGTACTCATCTCACTTTACTGGCCAAGGGAGCCAACGTTTGTCCGCAGACAGTTTTTCCAGGTCATGTGGCCAGCATGACTAAGCCACTTCTGGTGAAACCAGAGCAGCACACGGAAATGCCGTTTACCTTCCCGCTGGAGCAGTACCTATTTATCTACTGCACTGTGTGCTTTCGAACTGCTAGGTTGGCAGGAGCTGGGACAGAGCAATGGGAGCTCACCCCGTTGCAGGGATTCGAACCACCGACCTTCCAATCGGCAAGCCCTAGGCTCTGTGGTTTAGACCACAGCGCCACCCGCGTCCCACCTAGAACATAATTACCCTGTCCCAATTTTTCTTATAGCTCGATAAAGAGACCAAAATGTGTTTAAAATGTGCATTTTAGGATAAAAATGGGTTTGGAAATGCATACATTGAGATGAAGTGCATATCTAAATGTATTTTACATTAAAAGCATGCACAATTATATATATACTGATTAAAATATGTATTTAAATATGAAGTTTCAAACATTTTTAAACATTTGTAAATTAATGCAGAAATGGTACGAAACTGACTTATGAATGAACAAATATGAAAGCAACACAAATGGGGGGGTGATCTGCCCATCCCCCCCCCCAACTAAGCCATATGTTGTGAACAAACAGTGGCATAAAAGTGGCTGTATCATATTTTCCTCTGATCTGATGTTTATACCCAACACACAACTGAAAAGGGGAATCTAAGCAGATGTCTTCATGTTTAGAAGAAAACCATTAGCAGCTGCTCCAAGATTAGCTTGGTCTCTAGGATGGCATTATGGTGCCTTAGCCAACAAAAAAGGGTGAGAGAAACCATTAACCTTTTGCTGCTAACCCTATCAGGCGAGTGAAACTCAAAACCTTTGTGCTTTCCCGAGGCATTTTCTTTCTGACATTTTGTGAGGGATAAACTCACTGCACACTCACCAGAAATATCAGAAGGGTCAGTGGGATGAATTCTAGATAAGGAGTGAAAAATATCAGGAAATGATACATCCTGCTTGAGGTGAGGGAACAGTCAAATGATTTTTTTTTTCTTAGAGATTGAGGATTAAAAATGCCCATGTCAACCCTAGCAGAACTCCATTATCTTTAGAATATTTATTTGAAAAATAGAACAGGAGATATTATATTGTTGGAAGTTACACTAGGACATGGCTTTATCAGTGGGGGAGGGGAATGAAATTTCAGAAGGTGCTCGTTTTCTTGTCATAAGTTAATGGAGGTTGAGAAAACCTCTTGCTAAAATTCTCTTCTCTACGTAACTATGATGACAACCAGACAATGTTTTTCCTGGGCTGTGTGACGTCAGACAAGAAGGGTGGGGTCTTGCATTGCTGGCTCCTCCCTCCGCACAGAGAACTTGATGTTGGGGAGAAGTGTTCCAGCCTTCCCTTCTCATTTTCTATGTGTAAATGGTTCAGGGCCTTTTTCTTCCTCCCAAGCACACCACCATCCCAAGGCAACCTTTCCTGGACACGTCAGAAAAAAAATTAAAACATGATTTGCTGTTTGTATAGATTCATTAGAAAGCTTTCTACTACACTGAAGTGAATGGGGGCCACCTCTGTCCCCACAGTTCAAATGCCTTGAAGATACACCACAACTGCTGGAACAGAGTGCCACGAATTCGTGGTGTTTTGCTTCCAGGGAGAGAAAAGAACTGAGATTTTTAACATTTGGGCACGAAATGCAGGATTTGGCTTTTTCATAGCCTATTCACCACCATGCTTGGGGGAGAGGTTCTGCAAACAGGTTGGGTTGGGTTTTTTATTACTTTAAAATTACATGAAGCAACTGGCAATCAGTACAGTATACGATGCTGATTTCCAATTAAACTCTTTCTTTAGCTGCTGCTGCTGCAGAGATCAACATCCTCAGTGATAACTGCTCAGCTAATTGTAATGT